GTGTATCAAACTCCTTTAGCCTGGCATTTAGAGCCCTTCCTAGCGTCACCTGCTGCCCCCTTCCAAGTTCTCCTCAGACACATTAATTCCGCACACCTCCTTGCTTTTGGACAAGGACTGCTTCTGCAAGGAATGCCCTTCCTCCCCACAGCTGAGAATTCCTTTTCTTGTTATTAAGTGCCAGAGAGCCTATAATGACTCACAGCAACCCTAGAAACAATAAGGTAAAATCTTGCCTGATCCTGGGCTATCCTGATAATTTATGTCATACTCAAGCTCAGTGTTAGAGTCACTGGGTTGATCCACCTCCTTGTGGGTCTTTCCTCTTTCATTAACCCTCTACTTAACCCAGCATGTCTTTTCCAAGGACTGACATCTCCTGACAACACGGCCAAAGTATGTGAGACAAAGTTTCCCCATCCTTGCTTCTAAGGAGCACCCTAGACATCCTTTCAAAATGCAGCTCAACGGCCCTTTCTCCCAGGAAGCCTGTCAAGAGTTGGGAAGGGTCGGATTTTCCTGTACTTGCAAGCTGAGAAGAGAGACTGCCAGCTCCATGGATACTGGAAGACATGACCCTCTGGGTTCAATAACTGTCATTACTCACAGTACAGAAGCTGTAGTTTTGATTTGTAGGAACTATCTTTTACATTTCTCTGTCTGGAACATAGTTAAGTGCTAAGTGAATGAGTAAACTAAATAATGCTGAGAATTTCAGTAGCTATGGACTGAGGACAAGAAAATAATAACTACAAAGCCTGGCATTTGTTGACAGCTTGTTCTTGTGCTCCAGTTTCTGTGCGATGTGCTTTGACTGGATTATTTTACTAAAGATCTTCCTCATCATTCTATATGGCAAGTGCTTTTAGTAATTCCATCTTACATAGGAGGATACTAAGACTTACAGCAGAAAAAGGACTTGCCCCAAAGTCACAAAGTTAATAAGCAACAGAGCTGTAATTTGAACGGCTTTGCCTGAGCTCCTTGCCACCCTACTGGTGTTCCCACTGGAGCATGTACAGATGTTCGTTTGGAGTGTTTATGGAGGTGAAGGAAGGGAGGAGAGGGGGAGGAAGCATGTGCCTTTTTGTATTTAGGGGGTGGAGGTGCGGCCTCGTCGCCTGTGACTCACAGCCCATCACGAGTCTCACATTATCACTGAGAGCTCACAGTTCTCCCTGTACCTTCACACCTTCCCTAATCTGCCTGCACTTGGCGGATGGAGTTGGTCTTTGGGACAGCCTGGAATGTGAAACTGATAAGCTAAATTTGAGGCCACTATATTTGCTGCAAGCAACCATGGTGGCACAGAGATTAAGCACTCAGAGCTTAAGCAAAAGTTCAGTGGTTTGAACGGATCAGTTGCTCCATGGGAGAAACATGTGGAGGTCTGCTTCTATAAAAATTACAACCTTGGAAAGCAATGCGACAGTTCAGGTCTGTCTTGTAGGGTCACTATGAGTCAAAATTGCCTCAGTGACAATGAAGGCTTTTTCTTTATACTTCTTTATACTTGCTACATCACACAATTCTCAGTCACTATTTCCAATCTTACTAATAATAAAAAATGTGAATGAAAAAAAAATTTTCAACCAAATACTTTAATGACTGTACCCAAGGGCCCTTTGGGGCTTGGCCATGGGACTGTACAAGTGTATCTGGCTTTGCACAACACTACTGCATCTCTTGTGGGATAACCATGCTCTTTCCTGTAGGAACCTGTATACACTCTGGGGCTCCAGGCTGCTTCCTGCTAGTACCTGGCCACTTCACCACAGCCCAGTCTATCCTCTCTGTCTGTATCCCTAACATCCAGCCCAGTCGTACTCAGAAACATAGATGTGCCAAGACAGGAACAACAGCAGTAGGTCAACCTGGAATCTACCAGCACCTTGCTTCACCAAAGCAACTGCTCAGGGAATGAGCTAGATCATGGGAGAGTGAAATTAGCCCAAAGCTACAAAGCTTTACAGAAAGTCATTGTCTTAAAGTCATTGGGAAAATCTGCTGTCAGAGACCTCTCCAGAGTACTGAAGAGCAACAATATCAGTCTGGAAATTAAGGTGCACCATAGTCTTTGCAATTCTTGCTATGCATCAGAAAGCTGGAAAATTACTAGGGACAACAGAAGGAGAATTGATGCTTTTGAGCTGTGGTTCTGGAAAGACTATTGAGTATACTGCAGACTGCTAGGAGAACAAATAGGTGAGAGGGTGAAACCTGGCTGCTCCTTGGAGGCAAGAATTCTGAAGCATCATTGGCATACTTTGGGAATGCTGCAAGTCCTTGGAGAGACATCATGTTTGGGAGGGTGTAGGGACAGTGCAAGAGAGGAAAACCCTGGATGAGATGGACTGATTCAGTGACTGAGGTAATGTGGTTAGGTGTACCAGAGAAAATGAGGTTTACTCAGGATAGAGCAAGGTTCAGAGCTGTTGAACATAGGGTCGCTATGAGGCACAAGCAACTCAATGGCATATAACAACATCAGCAACTTCTAAATTAAGCATATTCTAAATAGCCATTTGAGACCAAAAGGGTAGCATTTGCCAAAAAAACAAATCTCAGAAGGCATGAAAAAAAGCAAAAAAAAGAAAAAAGGTAAATGGATGCAAAAGAATCCATGGAGGAAGCCAAAACAGTGTTGGCATTGCAGTTAATGTTACAAAGCAAAATGTATAAACTTGAATGGGATAAAGACTTTGCTCTATAAATTTTCACTCAAACCACAAAGGAAAAACAACAAACTAGGAATGTTCTGATGGATAAACAAAGTGGCCCACTCTTTCATGTTTTACACGACTACAGGAACAGAAAGACAAGCACAAGATGTGCTAAGCTTTGTAGCCATACACCATGCAATTAGAGGATGTGTCCCTTCAAAATGGGGTCTTGGCTAATTGGGCCAGACTCTTCAGATCTGGGGACACAGGTGTAGAAATAAAGGTTTTCCATGGACACATAATGGTTTGTCTTCTCTCTAGCTTTCCACATGCTCCTTTTTTCCCATCCTCCTGCACAAAAGTAACCCAGCATGAGTCAGCCTGCCCACTGGCCTGTGAAGTGGAGCAGGCTGGGGATCCGCACAAAAGCTTCCCACAAAGGCGTCAGGCCACATCACCATCGCTGAGGCACTCGGGTGAAAGGACCAGCCGCAGCGTCCTTTACCCCTTTCACGTCTGAATGCAAAAACAGAACAATCCCTCGCACATAATGCACTAAAATTTCTAGACAGGCATATAGTGTTACTGTCTGAAACTTTTCCTGAGTCTTCTCAGATGACCATACATATTCATACGCATACCAGAGCTTAAAGAAAGAAAACAACAGGGTGCCTGGTGATTAGTTTTCATTGAATTCACCTGAGAATTGTAAATCCTGAAAACTGTAGCAACTGTAAATAGTATTTAAAGGTTCAGACAGCTTACAGTTTTGTTCTTGCGAATGGCAAGTCGCCTCTCCTCTGAAAGGGTCTGGGAAAGGCAGTACATTGCAGAGCCAACTGCAAAAATCATTAAATTATGAAACAATAGAATGGGACAGTGCTGGCTATATTCTACCCTTCATATTCCTTGGGAGGCAATTTGGTCTTTACAGCTTATCTCATTCAGAAATAAAAAGATTAACTGCATTGAGGAAAATCTGTTGTCAGAGACCATAGAGTAATAAGGAGCAAGGATGTCAGTCTGGAGACTATGGTGCACCTGATCTAAGCCACAATCTTCTAAAATACTTCCTATGCATCTCAAAGTTGGATAATGACTAAAGATGACAGAAGAATCAATATCTTCGGGTTGTGATGCTGGAGAAGAGTATTGAACATCTTAAGAATTGCCAAGAAAACAAGTCTTTCCATCCTAGAGAAAGTGAAACCATGGTACTCCTTGGAGGCAAGGATGGCGAAACTCTATCTCACACACTTTGGGCTTGCTATAAGAAAGGGTCAGTCCTTGGAGAAGGACATCATTTTTGGAAAAATGAAGGGTCAGCAATAAGAGAGGAAGACCCTGGATGAGATGGATTGCCACAGTGTCTGTCACAATGAGCTCAAGTGTGTCAGAAATGGTGAGGATGGCACAGCATAGGGCAAGGTTTAGAGCCACCGTTCACAGAGTTGCGACGAGTTGTACTACACTCGATGGCACCTGACAAAAACAACCTCATTAGGAGCTCTGTAAAGATGGCCCCAGCTCACTCAGAGTATTCAACAAGCAGCTTTATTTTCCTTCTATAAAACAGTACCCCTTCCAACTCTAGGGTGTTCTTCTATAAATCCCTTGAGAAGGAACATTGTGCATGAAGGTGGAGGGGCATCAAAAGAAAGGAAGACCTTCAACTAGATGGACAGATGCAGTGACTGTAGCAATGGGCTCCAGGATGTCAGAGATGATGAGGATGGCACATGGAAGGCCAGAGGTCAGGTCTGTCGTTCACAGGATCACTAAGAGTCAAACTCGACTGCACCTAAAACCAACAACCATTGTATAAAAACCATCTTGCCTTTGAGTCAAACAATAGGAAACTGAGTGACAGGAGTGACCACGTGGTTCAGAGAGAGAAGCCTGGTGTTGGGAGGACACCTACCTCCCTTTAGGTCACTGGAATCTATTTAGCAAGTTCTTGTGGACAACCTACCCAAGCAGGACTGGGATTACAAAGGTCATACATAGCAGAGGCTTTGGGAGATTTCATGGTCTGATTCGCCCCCTGAGTCCCCAGTCAATAAACCTGGTCATTCCCCCTTTTCCTTTCACATCTAAAATAGGTTACGCAAACAAGAAGTGACTTTCTCTGTTATCTCTGATGGGGTAGTGCATGGAGACACACTCCTATCAGACTTGTCAGGGATATAAGCATTGAGGAATCTTGATAGAAAGAAGGCATAAAAGGTGTTTAAGAGCCATTTCCTGCCCACAATTTGAAGAATGGATTCCCCTTGTCAGGCAAAACAGAGGTGTGTGTGCCTCTGGGCGTGAGGGCAGCAAGGGGTGAGGACTTACGTGGTTTCTCTTGTCTTCATCTACCATGGATGTAATCACAGTCTCTGAAAAGACTGTTTGTCCAGTCTGATTGTTGGTTACCTAGAGTAGAAAAGTCACAGAGAAGGTGAAATACCAGGAATTCTGGGCATTTTCCATACATGGTTTCATTTTCTGAAGCAAGAACGTTTGGTTCACTCCCACTTTCTTTCTAGTGGACCAGCAGCTGTCTGATGGATGGCTTCCCCTCAGTCTGGTGAGGAAAAGTATTCACAGAGTTACCTCACAGGCTTGCTATTCAGAGATGTGAAGGCCCATGCAGAGCACTCACCACAGTGCCCAACACCTAATAAACACTCCACAGCATTAGCTATTTTTGTCCTCCTTGGGGCTCATCACTTGAAACTCAATGTCAGTTTTCTTTTCAATGACTACAGGCCTGGGTGTCAGTCAGATCTCTTTCATGAGAAATAAGCAGGTCTTAGCTATAGCCTCTCCACTGTGGATGCTGGTGAACGTTTTTATGCAAGATGTATTCATTCTACCATTCCTGTCTGTCCCTTGTCTGTCCTGCCTCTGTCACCAGGTGCAGCACTTGGAAGGTTACCCTTCAAACCCTGCTCCATCAGAAGTCATCTCTAAATGACAGTAATGAAGAATAGATACGATGCTGTCCTGAGATGCTGGCTCAGGTGCTAATTACCTGGAACAAGTCATTTTTCTGAGTTACATTTTTTTTTCATTTTTTTATCATTTCTTTTTCTTCTTTTTTAGATCATCTTGAAAGCACTTGACAATTTTATTGTTACAAGAATCTGTAGCCAGAAAACAAAGTGGAAACTCTTAGGCTAATCTGTAGTTGTTGTTTAGTGTCATCGAGCCGAGTATGACCCATAGCAACCCTCTGAACAACAAATCTGAACCCTGTCCTATCCTGTGTCATGGATCAAGTTCTAGTTTTGAAGACATAAGGGCCAGTTCTTTGTCACCATGCTCTAATCTAAGGAATCCTTCTCCCCATAAACAGATGACATCTTTCTTCCACATGCCCTTTTTTTTTTTATAGGTTTGACATTTTATGTTTTAAAAGTTTTATGAGTGGGTCAAAGAGCTTTCCAGAGCCTTTCTATACATCATGCTTTCATGACTATTTCATTTTTTTCAAATTTTTTTCCAAAAAGTTCTGCCATAACTGAGCCCCTTTTCCATGAAGCATTGCACAGGACTGGTGCTGATGGAACTCATCTGAGAATGACCATATTATACTGTTAGCAGAGCTGTAGTGTAACAGAAAGGAGCCCTGCTGTCTCAATGGTTAAGCATTTGACTATTAATGAAGAGACCGACCGGTGGTTTGAACCACCCATCAGTTTTGTGGAATAAAGAGCCAGTCATCTATTTCCATCACGAATACAGTAAAAAAGCCGTGCAGAGCAGTTCACTTCTGCTGACTGGGGTCCCTAGGAAATGGAGTTGACGAGGGCCTGAAACCAACAAAAGCAGCACAGGAAATAATCAGAACAACTTTCCCTTGCCTATCCTTTTTACTTACAAAGAGCTTTCATAAGGCCATTGGATCCTCATAATTGTGTGTATAATGTAAAAGACTAAATATGTAACACTGAGTGAATTCTATTAAGGAATTAAGGATCTCTGGATAGTGCAAGGAGTCTAGTGGCCTTGTGCTAAGAAACTGCAAACAGCTCGTGCTCAATTATTAACTGAAAGGCGGTAATGAGAATCTGCCCAGTAGCACCACAGGAGAAAGGCCTGATGAGCTATTTCCATACAATGGCAGCCACTGAAGACTATAGGAGTCCGTTTCTACCATGAATCAGGCATGATTCATTGACAAGAAGCTCAGCTTTCTCTTTGGTTTAAATACCATGGCACATACATAGTTGCTGTTATGTACCATCAGGTTGGAACCAACTCATAGCTGACCCTCCAGCAGGTTTTCAGAGGCTGCACATCATATAGGAGGGGGCTGCTCATCTTTCTCCAAGGATCAGCTAGCGGGTGCAAACCTTTGAGGTGGCAAATTCTTACCACTCAGCCACCAGAGCTCCTTTTTGTATGATCTAGGGGGAAATTAATATCTCTATTTTATAAATACACTTACAGAGAGTGAGGAAACTTTTCCCCCAATCACCAATAACTTGGTGTAGCCAAGCCAAACTGACTGACACTCGATCCTCTATTAGTTCAAAGGCTGAAAGTCACATGGTGGGGAGACTGCCGATTTCTCTCCCCCAGAGCAACTGGTGTAGTTGAACTATCAGAGTGGAGGCTTTTGTTTAGCTATGAAATTCTTTATGAAATAGGTCACCAGAGCTCCCTCATCAATAACTGGTAGGGCTCAAATTCAGGTTTTCTGACATCTATAAGGTGCTGGAGAAGAGTA